GTCGGTTTTTGGTGAGGATGGGTGGTGGTTGTATGGCGGTCTTAGGAAGTGGTGCGGTGTAAATACCCACATCAACAGTGATGAACAGTACACGACCATAGATCAATTGAACCTTTCTTTCTCTTTCTATCCCATTATTGCTCATTCAATTTGTAAAATCTGTACTTTGAGAGTACTTAGCCATTCTTAATCACTTCAATTTTACTTATTGAATTGAGAGGGGAGTGAATCCTTGTGTAAGTGAAGAAAAGTGTTAGTATGCAAGTAACCGAAGTCTTGGAGAATCTTGTAGTGGTTTGTTGAGCACCCTTGATGCTCAACCGAATAGTGAAAGTTGACAAAGCGGCTTCAGTCTGGATGTAGGTTACAGTGGTGGTGACCGAACTAGGATATATCTCATTTGCAATATCTCTAACCCTTATCTTTGCATAAGCATTGTTAGATCATTTGAGCATATTTGATTTCATATATTATCATTTATTTACTTGAATTATTTGCTATTATTTAGTCTCTTTTAGTAGTAAATTATTTGAACTCAAGAAAATTATTTTCAAAAAGAAAATTGAGGCATTTTACGAAAATATTTTTAAAACTCAATTCACCCCCCCCCCTTTTTTGAGTTTGAGGCCACTTGTCCAACAAGTGGTATCAGAGCTTGAACTCTTGTATAAAGAGCTTAACCGCTTCAAGAGAAGGGATGGCCTCTTTGAACAATGATATGCCCCTTGAGGGAACTTCAACTACAAGACCTCCTTTCTTTAATGGCACCGATTATGCTTATTGGAAAAGTCGGATGCAAATATTTCTTGAGTCCAATGATTTAAGGATTTGGAACATTGTTGAAGAGGTAAATAAAATCCCAACCAAAAGGGATGAAAGCAACAATGATGTTCCAAAGAATGTAAAGGAATTTTTGGAAGAAGAAATTAAAGAAGCTAATTGGAATGCTAAAGTTAGAAACTTGATTACCAATGCTTTAGGTAGAGATGAATACTTTCGTGTAGCTTCTTGCAAAACCGCAAAATAAATGTGGGATGTGCTAGAAGTAACACATGAAGGAACTAGTGAAGTTAAAGTTTCTAAAATTCTTGGATTAACTAGAGAGTTTGAATTATTTGAAATGAATGATGATGAAACCATACAAAGTATGCAAAAGAGATTTACTTATATCATCACACATTTAGATGCATTAGGTGCTTCATACACTTGAAGGTTCGAAAGACTGCATCATAGTCATACTATGGTGCGCATACATGGGTGGAAAACAAAAAAATTTCGCAGCGGAAGCATAGACCATCTATACACCCCATGTGTGAATGCTTTACGTAGAAACGAAATAGGGTTTCAGAATTACCTTTTCACTTGTAGGCGCAAAAGGATGACACCCTCCAATGGTGATCCACACGGTTATCTCCTTCTTGCTAGTGAGAACTCTTCTCCTTGATCCCTCCTTATCCTTGGTGGCTGGCTAGGCGCATGCAAGGAAGAGGCTACCAAGTGTTTGGATTATTTTTCTCTAGACTATAATGGTGTCTTGAGGTTAGGTGATGGTGCAACAAGAGTGAGAGAAGGAAAGGTTGGAGCTTTTTCTTTTTCGAATTCTACACACTCATAGGAGAGATGATGCATCAGTTTTTTATAAAAACTGATCAACCACATAAGCCCCTCCTATGATTAGGCGCACAAGTTAAAGTGATGAGAGAGACTTTCCTTGATTCTCTCCCTTGATTAGGCGCCCCTTTAATACCTTTCCTTTCCTCGGAAATTTTGTTGCAACGGTATTCATTTAAATTCCGAATTCAAATGAAAGAGTAGTTGAGAGAATCTTCATCCAATCTCTATTGGATTATTCCTTTAAATAATTTTAAATTATTCTAAACAACCTAACCTCATAGAATTTAAAATTCAAATTCCAATTTGAAATTTAAACTCAAATATAAATTCAATCTTATCTAAGTTCGTATTTCGAATTCGAAATTCAAATTTCAAATTTCAAATTCAAATTCAAATTTCAAATTTCAAAATTCAAATTTCAAAAATTCAAATTTTAAAATTCAAATTTCAAATTTGCCCAAATCTTATTTTGGTCAAGTCAACTCAACTCTTTGACTTACTAGGATTCATGCCCCAAGGCCTCTTTGGCCTATCATCATATTTGGGCCCATTAGTGGAGAAAACTCTTTCACCACTAATGCCCCAAAAGGGCGCATGGTTCAAGTGGGCTTGGAGTCCCTACTCCAACCCAACTTAACTCATAGTCTTGACAAAGCCTAATAACTCACTATTGGTCCAAACTTGCTATAACTTGAAATAAGGAATAACCTTTGTGTGTGACCCATTAGGCCCAATTAGTTACTGACATAAATAAACTTGAACCATTTAAACTCCTTTAAAAGGTCCAATCCATTTAATGACTACATGATACACTAGCAATGCTCTGTAGCCCCAGAACTAATTGAGTTGATCAAGTGATCGACCTTTCTGATTTGGATACCGTGCCAGCATTATCCCTCACATCGCCATTCACATTTAGTCGAGAGCAAGGATAGAGTATCATTTCTCTTTATTGACTAAATATAATATTTCACAGGAACTATGAATCTTCTTCTATTGACTCTAAGACAGATCATGACTCTTCATGATCTCTTACTATGGATAGATTCCCGAGTCAACTTGAAGTCATCTCAGCCCTACCGGTCTTTGTGAACGACTAATCCCTTATAGGGGATTGTGAGTCCTTTCGGCATGTCCATCTATACTCATGTATTCGAGTTATACCCAAGAGTACACTGTTCTCCCCATTTTTTAGGCGGATAGAGTTGTACAATCAAAGTATAACTCCAGGACATAGTATTCGATGACATCCTAAAGTCTAGGACGATGCGCACTACCAAACATTCAGAGACTTTTCAAATCCAATGATACTCTCTATAATGAATCCTTGTGGAGTCTCTAAGCGGGTCAGTTCAGTGCTATATGTTCTTCAACAGATCCACCCACGACATCAGCTAAGGCATCAACATGCCTGCATTCCATGAGGTCCTTACCTTGTATCTCCATACAAGTAGATGACGTCATACTAGTCTTATTGAGATCACCAATACCCTTTCTTGGTGATTCAAGACCAGGAACAAATTTTAGGTAATAGACATTCAGTGTCCTCGAGTCCTCATGATCATGATCACTATCATAGATCCTCGAGTGAACACCTGTTCTATTCCTAGGGTCTTTATCTTTAAACGCATATTTACAATAAAATATTGGCGAGACATAAATATGATAAAGACAAAGTTTGCTCAAATTTATTAATCATGAAATACCAAATAGAAAAAGGTGTTCATATGATAAAACAGATTTTCTCTAGGACACCTATATACTAACAATCTCCCACTTGGCCTAGAGCCAATCAGGTTGACGTGTCAAACCTAAAGACTCATAATGACTATCATGTTTTCTCTGGGAGAGACCCTTCATTAGAGAATCAGCCAAATTATCATCAGTGGGGACGTAATCCATCTTTATCTCCATTCTTTCAATAATCTCTCGGATGAGGTGATACTTACGGAGCACATGTTTGGATATTTGATGAAACCGGGGTTCCTTGCCCTGGGCTATAGCACCAGTGTTATCACAATACAAAGGTATTGGATCAACAATGCTCGGAACTACTCCAAGTTCTGCAACGAACTTCTTGATCCAGACTGCCTCTTTAGCCGCTTCTGAAGCTGCTATATATTCTGCCTCAGTAGTAGAGTCTGCCGTGGTCTCTTGCTTGAAACTCTTCCAAGAAACTGCTCCATCATTTAAGGTGTATATAAAGCCCGACTGAGATTTACAGTCGTCTTTATCACTCTGGAAGCTTGCATCAGTGAACCCCTTCACTATCAGCTCATTACTGCCACCATAAACCATAAACAAATCTTTAGTCCTTCTCAAGTACTTAAGGATTGTCTTCACGACCGTCCAGTGACTCTCTCCAGGGTCAGACTGGTATCGGCTCGTAATGCTTAAAGCATAAGAGACGTTTGGTCTAGTACATAGCATGGCATACATGATGGATCCAATTGCTGATGCATATGGAATCCTCTCCATGCGTTCCCTTTCGACAGGTGTCTTAGGACATATAGTCTTAGAGAGATGAATGTCATGACCGACAGGAAGAAAATCCCTTTTCGACCCATCCATGCTAAACCTCTGTAGCATCTTGTCTATGTACGTGGATTGAGATAATCCCAGCAACCTTTTGGATCTATCTCTATAGATCTTAATACCTAGTATATAGGCTACCTCTCTCATATCCTTCATGGTGAAGTTCTCTATAACATCCCGTATAATTGGGAGATTACAAAATTCACTATTAGGGATGTGGAGTATGCCTGAAATTTAAATTCGATTTACGTTGAAAGTGGAATTAATTTAAATTAGGAAAAACTATTCTTATGGCAAATTATGAGTGGATATATTTAGAATTCGACATATATATATATATATATATATATATATATATATATATTCTAATTAATAATTAGTAAATGCATGAGAATAAAATTTTAGTTACCATACATGATAAAATCCTAGAAAATTCTAGTTAGAATAATCGAATTAATTTAATCATAACAAAGGAAAATCTTAGTAATATTTAAAAGATGTGGGAACTATTGGTTTAATGGGCTAGTTCATTAGAAGGTAGAACCTTGGACTTGAATTATAGGACTCAACCATACTCATGGTCGACGGCCCACAGGCTCTAAGGGGGACATTGGTACAGCCCCAACTTCTTATCCCATTCTCACTTTATCCTAAGAACCTTACTTGGCAGTTCATGATTGGCCAAGCCCCTTCCTTGCTACTCCACATGTGCGCATAACAGAGGATAAAAAATCTAATTTTTCTTGCATTTGTGGACATGCTAAGTCAGCCCTTGCATCCTCATACGGCCAATGGTGATAGAGCAACTCACCTGTATATTCTTTCCATTGGTCGACACTCCTCACATGATAAGCTTCTTCATCCTAATACCCTTGTTATACGCATAGTGTGATCAGAAAAGAGGTCAGCCTGCATGAAGAGTCATTGGTCGAAAAATCCCACACTTCTCATCCTTGGTCTGTGCGAATGAGTTGGAAAAAAAAGGGGGCCAAGTAAAAATCTGGTCTGTACTAGCATGTCAAACAGCCCCAACTTCTAGTTTCCTTCTCAACCGGTGTTGTGTGAATAAAAGAATAACAAGTCTGATTTTTGTTTCTCTTCTTTGCTAGACTTGGGTTCAGATTGTGAGGCCATAGCATCATTTTTCGTTTCCTTATGCGCTAGTTAGAAGAACAATCGAGCTGAGTTATCCTCTCCTTCTTGCTACAAACCGTGAACCCTTAAGAAATAAACCACTCTTCAAGTCTTTTCTCTTCCCCACTGATTCGGCAAATTGCAGCAAACATGGGGATTTCAACATAAACTCACCATCCATCTTTCCCTCTTGTTCGGCCGAAGCCTCACCTCAAGGAAAGGAGGTTATTTTCGTGGTTCTTTCTGTTCCTGCTCACTCGAATTCTTCTGATCGAATCTTCCCCCACTGCATGCACAACAGTCCGCCTTGCTTAAGTCTTTCCATCCTTTGCATGCAGCTGGATGGGATCCTTTGGAGCATGAGACGTTGAGGGTGCATTCCTATTCTTTCTCCTCTTGTGCTCGGCCAAACACCTTGAAGTATGAGGTGATGCGGTTTTTTATTATTATTCCTCTGTTCCTATGTGTCCCATTCTGTTTTAATGGAGCCTTTGCATGCAGATTTTGTTTTGTGAAATTCGGTGTAGTAAGAGTGTGAGTATACAAGCACAAAACTTGTTGGCTGTCTCGTTAGTGATGGCGAAATTGGTGTTTTGCAAGGAGGTAAATATACTGAACAATCAAGTTCCTATTCTCTTCTTTGGTCTCGGTCACATCATGTAGGCTAGGAAGTTTCTTGTTGTTATCTTCTTCTTTCGGTTCACCATAAAAGACCGAACTCTTGGAGTACATGTAAGTTTAATATAACTCAATTAAGAGCTGGGAAACAGTTACTGTGACTTAGAGAGGCTGTTCTTTGAATTAGAAAATGGTAGTGGCTTTGCATGTGTTTAAAAATGTGTAGACCGTATGCTCGAAGAATTAAATAAGCCATGCTCATGTGATGCTGTTAGTATTTTGATGTTGTGAGTATTTTGTAAATGAAATTAGGAACCAGGCCTTGAATGCATTAAGAACCAGTTAGACAGCATGTTAAATCGCCCTATCAACCTCCTAAGATGGGTAGAACATGCAGGTAAATAAAAGGTTAAAACCCTTAGGTGATGACTTCACGAACTGAATTTTGTTTGCAAGAAGAACCTTAGATGCTGTCGTTTGATCACCTTTGGTAGTGCACCTTAAATCTGAAAATTTATTAAGTCTTGAGTCTTAGGATTCGATGATTAACCAAGTACTAAGGAGAGTGGGGACTCTATGTAATGTGTAGAACTAATAAGATAAATATGTTAAGTACCTAATGTTGATTTAGAACCAAAAAGGTAGGTACTGAATACTTTGGTTTTATCAATTAAGGGCCATTGATAAATTAAATCTGTGTAAAGAATAATTTGTGGCAACTAATTAAGGGTAAAGACAACCGAAGTAAATAGGGATTTACATTTGTGTCATTTGTTAATCTTTGGCAAAGTTAAAGTTAAAACAGAAAATTAAATGACATGAGATGCATGATAAATTGATTTAAATCATAAGAGTTAAAAGCATGAAAAAAATTAGTTAAAGGTCATAAAATTTATTTTTTCTTATGTAAACCATGAAAACCGAACCTGTGCATATTGTGGACCTTGGAATAATTGTGATTACTAGTAATGATGAAATGGTCTTAAGGGCAGAATATAATTGGCACTAGGAACCTTATAATTCGATGAAAGTACATAAACTATAAGCCTAGAAATTATTGGTGACTTATAGGGATAATTGTATAAAATTTTGACTTGGTACAATGGTATATTAGGTGCGCTAAACCCTTAGACCGTTGACTGTTTTGCGGCTGATTGTTAAATTAATTGTAGCACGCGAGGTATGTGTTAGGAGGTATTACTTGATGTGACTATTGACTAGTGTATGAATTGTGAATTGTTGCTCACATGTGCCTTATGATTATTCTGTCATAAATGATGAAATTATTCTGCCTATGGAAATGTTATGATTATGGAAATTCTGTTATGAAAAGAAAGAATGGCTTGGCAGTATGGCATCCAATGTACAAGAAGTATATGTTATGAAATGATGATATATGCATGCACCGTACATCATACCGCACTTGTCTTTCTGTTTGTGTGTGACAGCATAGCATGGCATGCATGTACCAAATTCATGTTAGTCTTGAGTCTTAGAATAGTTATCTACAAGATCATGTGATTGAGCACGCATCATATAGGCATCCCTTGATATCAGGGTACTGGGACAGTTGGCGTCAGTCCGCATAGGCCATAGTGGAATTCCCCAAATGATGGTGCCGTGCATGGAATTTCCACTGTGATGGCACGCGCACGACGGTGCTATGAGCGTGATGAAGGCGTTATATACGCAATATGATATATGATGAAAAGGATTTCATGTTTGAAGCGACTGTTTATATTTTGTGCCTAGTTTAATACTGTTGCATTATTGGTTTTGTTGCCACACTACTGGGATTTCTCTCACCCCTTTGGGGCTGCTATTTTTACAAAATGGCAGGAGGACGTAAAAGCTTTTGAGGACTTGGATATTTGTTGTTGGCTTCTACTGTTTTGGACATGCTGATGTGATATTTTATGGATGACTGTATGAAATTGAGAATCTTTTATTACTGTGAACTATGATTTTATTATTGCATTACGATTTTATGACCAGCAAGTATTATGGAAACAGATGTTGAAACGTTTGCGAAAAGGATTTTTACATGTTATCTAAATGCTGAGTTTTGAAAAGTCTTTGCGAGCACTTTGTAAGTTGTCGTACTTGGGTTACGGACCTCCGATTTTCTTATAATTTATATGCACGCGTAGCCCCAGGTGTCTATTTTCATTATATATAAACCTTGCAAAGAAATTATGAAAGCTCGATTTATTATGAATTTTACTAGCCAGGACGTTTGTGAGATTTTCACTGTTTTATCTCTTATTTTGCGAGTTATGTTTCGAGGGGTAAACGAACTCCAAATCACTATTATTTTATATGAACGTGAAGCCCCAGATGTCTAGTTTTCAGATTACAAAGAATATTTTTTTGAATCGTAAACTGGATTTTATACGAATTTTTAAAGACAGAAAGGTCTATCAGGAAATTTATATTTTTAGTAAGTTGAAGAAATTTTGCGTACCCTGATTTTTGTAATTAACCAGATCCCCTCTTTACTTTTAATTGGCAATGTAAAAGCGATTCTTTTCAGTCTCTAAAATACTATGAAAGAACTCTAATTCCGCTTAGCAAACACATCTCTTGGAGGCCTACAAGAGAGGGTGTTACATTCTCAGACAACCAAACCTTTGTGGACTGTAACATGGGAATGTCATTTCCAATGAGCAATATGTCATCTACATATAGCACAAGGAAAACAACAACATTCCCACTAACCTTCTTGTAGACACAGTTCATCCTCATTCTTGATAAAACCGTTATCTTTAACGACTTCATCAAAACGAAGATTCCAACTCCTGGAAGCTTGCTTAAGCCCATATATTGACCTTTGAAGTTTGCATACTATATGCTCTTGACTCTTGGATTCAAAACCTTCAGGTTGTGTCATATACACTTCCTCCTTCAAGAACCCATTCAAGAAGGCGGTTTTGACATCCATTTGCCAAATTTCATAATCATAATATGCGGCTATCGCTAGCATGATCCTAATAGATTTGATCATGGCAACAGGTGAGAAGGTTTCCTCAAAGTCAATTCCTTGTCTTTGACGGTAACCCTTCGCTACCAACCTAGCTTTATAGGTTTGGATGTTGCCATCAGCATCAGTCTTCTTCTTGAAAATCCATTTACACCCAATAGGAACTATGCCCTCAGGTGGTGGAACCAAGGTCCATACCTTGTTCTGATGCATCGAATCTATTTCAGATTCCATGGCTTCTTGCCATTTTGAGGAGTCAACATCCTTGACTGCCTCATTTTAGGAAGCAGGCTCGTCATCCTCAACGGTCTGCTGATTCTCAATCACAAAATCGTACCTCTCAGGTGGATGACTAAACCTAGTGCTCCTACGGGGCTGGGTGTCTACTGCCTCCAGTTGAGGCATCGCCTGATCAACAGACTCGGGTTCCCTTATCTCTTCTTGTAGGTCTTGAATTTCTTCAAGTTCTACCTTACTCCCACTATCTTCTTGAGAAAGAAGGTCTTCCTCAAGAAAAGTAGCATTCTTGGACACAATAACTCTTTGGTCCTCAGGGTAGTAATAGTAGTGTCCCTTAGTTTCTTTGGGATATCCTACAAAGTAGCACAAGGTGCTTCTAGCTCCTAACTTTTCAGGTGCTAGAGTCTTGACATAAGCTGGACAACCCCATACCTTGAGATAACTCAAGTTGGGTTTCCAGCCCCTCCATATCTGATATGGAGTAGTCAGAACAGATTTCGACGGTACCCTATTAAGAAGATGTAACGCTGTATGCAGACCTAATCCTCAAAATGATTTTGGGAGCTTCCTACCACTCATCATAGACCGTACCATGTCTAACAAGGTTCGGTTCCTTCTCTCTGACACACCATTCTGATGTGGTGTGTAAAGAGCCGTCAACTATGAGAGAATCCCATTCTCTCTTAGATAATCCTGAAACTCTTGACTCAGATATTCGCCACCCCGATCAGATCGAAGTGTCTTAATCATCTTGCCAAATTGTTTCTCCACTTCATTCCTAAACTCTTTGAACTTTTCAAAGGCCTCGGATTTGTGTCTCATAAGATACACATATTTGTATCTGGACTTATCATCAGTAAAGGTAATGAAATAGGAGTATCCTCCTCTAGCTTGAGTAGATAAGGGCCCACAAACATCAGAATGAATGAGTTCTAGTAACTCATTGGCTCTATGACTCGCAAGTTTCTCAACCTTGGTCTTCGTCATTTTTCCAGCCAAACAAGACTCACAAGGCCCATAGGATTCATAATCCATGGAATCCAGATAACCATCATGATGGAGTCTAGACAGTCTTATCTCATTAATGTGTCCCAATCTACAATGCCAAAGATAGGATCGATTACCTAATCTAGGCTCACAAGGAATGATGGGAAGTTCCTCTTCCAATGTCCTTCCTTCTGACAATGGAAGCATAAAGTTTTAGCATTGTCCTTGGATTTCTCCTTTCCTTTCCTTTTGCCCTTGCCCTTCTTCTTCTTGGGCTGACCTCTGGGCTTGAGCTTGTTTGATTCTACAGACTTGCCCTTACCCTTGGATTTTTTAGGTCCGCCAATCAGAAAAGCTTGGGTCCTGTTCCTTTTAACAGCACCCTCAACAGTGGTCAAGAGATTCAACAACTCTGGGAGTGTTGTCTCCACCTTATTCATATGGTAGTTGACCACAAAACCATTATATGAAGATGGCAAGGACTGCAAGACTAAGTCAACACTTAGCTCATGGTCCATGATAAAACCCAGAGAAGGAAGCTACTCTATCAGCCCAATCATCTTGAGGATGTACGGTCCAACCGCCATACCCTCAGCCATCTTACAGCCAAACAGCTCCTTGGAGGTTTCAAAACGCTCAGCCCTCCCTTGCTTATCATAAAGCTCTTGCAGATGCAAGATTATGGAGGGAGAATCCATATGCTCATGCTGACGCTGAAGATCCGCAGACATAGACGTAAGCAATATATATACTGCCTGCTCATTGTCTGCCAAATGCTGTCTATGAGCTTCCCAGTCATACTAGTCATACCCATCTTGCCCTTTAGCAGGGGCAACAGGAACAGGAGAATCCATAACATATGCTTTCTTTTCAAAACGTAAAACTATTTATACATTCCTATACCAATCCGTGAAGTTTGGTCCAGTTTACTTGTTAGTATCCAGAATAGAGCGTAAATTCAAATTTCCGGCCATAACTCAATTTCCAAAAATAAAGATAAACTTACATAAGTATTTCATGATAATAACCAAATACGGAGACTTTTAAACGTATATGGCCCTCCCACTATTTTATCTAAAATCAATGACCCTCGGTGATTGATTTAGGGTTATCCTTCACAAGGACATCCTTAGTGGGCTAAGAGAACGACTAGGTCCATTAGTCTTCGGCTGAGCCTGCAAAACTAACTTATCTCGTGGGTTGATCTTATCAACAATATCTCCATATTTTCTCTTAGATCATCAGGTTGACAACTCCTTGTCACTTAGTGTTACATCACTTTGTAACAACCTGGCCCAATGCCCTAGATGCATAGACCCGGCTGAGCCTGCAATTTATGTATCTAGTTTAGCACAAACCATCATCCTAAGTGTCGTACACTTTAAATGACACCTTTACCCGACTAAATGATAGGTCTTAGCTGAGCTAAAGAGCACTATTATGTAGAAGGGATTTGAATGTCATCGATGATGGGAGGCAATCATAAAATGCTAGATAATTTTATTTGAGGGTTCATTTTAGTCTCATCATTAGTTATTCCTTTTCTTTATCTTGCATGCATATTATAATAACTATCATATAGTTCTTCCTTTTAAACGGATTGTTTAAACATGCATACTAGTCGAGGAATGATCGTGTTTACTATAAGCATGCATAATAGTCGTAAATTCAAAAATTCAAAATTTTAAATTTCAAATTTCAAATTTCAAATTTTAATTTCCAAAATAAATGGAATTCATAATTTCGAATAACAATTTTAAATCTTTGAAATTTAAAATTTAAATTTTAACTTATTTTGAAAATTCGAATTTCTATAATATACATCCACACATGCATAATTTCAAAAATCATAAATTTGAAATTTAAACGCAAGTGGATGATCATGGTGCCTTCCGTTTTTCAATACAAAGTATCTTCAATCCTCAGATCATCTTCTTTGGCCGAAACATCTTTGTGCTCTATGGACTTACATCCTTTTTCGATTTAAAATTTACATCCAAAATTATATAAAATTTAAAAATGCAGAATTTTAAATCGTGACAGAACAATCCCATTTAACCAAAAGAATTAAAAAATATAAAATCAAACATTCAAATCACCATGAACATCCAATTATCAAAGTACCTACAAGAAGGTTAGAGGCATACAAAACAATTGCAAAGCATTATCGAATTCATCTTCAAAAACGATCAAGATTCATAAAATCAAAAATTGTGATGCGGCTGCCCACCATGTAGGCCGCGGCTATGATGGTGTCATCACCATCATGGTTTTTGACAAATCTAGTCCAACTAGATTTAAAACCCATCCTTAGCCCCAAGACTCTCTTGGCCGCCACTTTGTCTCCACAAAATGATGTCTCTTTCACATAATCACAAAAAAATTAGTTCTTTTAAAAAGAATAAATTTTTTAAGAATCTTGTTCGAAAATTGAAGATTTCAAAAACAGTTTTTGAAAATCCGATATCGGATTTCTAACCCCATTCGTTTGCAGCAACGAAACTGGCTCTGATACCACTTGAAGGTTCGAAAGACTGCACCATAGTAATACTATGGTGCACATACATAGGTGGAAAACAAAAAAAATTCGCAACGGAAGCATAAACCATCTATACACCCCATGTAAGAATGCTTTACGTTGAAACGAAATAGGGTTTCAGAATTACCTTTTCACTTGTAGGCGTAAAAGGATGACGCCCTCCAATGGTGATCCACACGGTTATCTCCTTCTTGCTAGCGAGAACTCTTTCTCCTTGATCCCTCTTTATCCTCGGTGGCTGGCTAGGCGCATGCAAGGAAGAGGCTACCAAGTGTTTGGATTATTTTTCTCAAGACTATAATGGTGTCTTTAGGTTAGGTGATGGTGCAACAAGAGAGAGAAGGAAAGGTTGGAGCTTTTTCTTTTTCGAATTCTACACACTCATAGGAGAGATGATGCAGGAGAGATGATGCATCAGTTTTTTATAAAAACTGATCAACCACATAAGCCCCTCCTATGATTAGGCGCACAAGTTAAAGTGATGAGAGAGACTTTCCTTGATTCTCTCCCTTGATTAGGCGCCCCTTTAATAACTTTCCTTTCCTCATAAATTTTGTTGCAACGGTATTCATTTAAATTATGAATTCAAATGAAAGAGTAGTTGAGAGAATCTTCATCCAATCTCTATTGGATTATTCCTTTAAATAATTTTAAATTATTCTCAACAACCTAACCTCATAGAATTTAAAACTCAAATTCAAATTTCAAATTTAAACTCAAATATAAATTCAATCTTATCCAAGTTCGTAATTCGAAATTCAAATTTCAAATTTCAAAATTCAAATTTCAAAAATTCAAATTTCAAATTTGCCCAAACCTTATTTTGGTCAAGTCAACTCTTTGACTTACTAGGATTCATGCCCCAAGGCCTCTTTGGCCTATCATCATATTTGGGCCCATTAGTGGAGAAAACTCTTTCACCACAATGCCCCAAAAGGGCGCATGGTTCAAGTGGGCTTGGAGTCCCTACTCCAACCCAACTTAACTCATAGTCTTGACAAAGCCCAATAATTCACTATTGGTCCAAACTTGCTATAACTTGCAATAAGGAATAACCTTTGTGTGTGACCCATTAGGCCCAATTAGTTATTGACATAAATAAACTTGAACCATTTAAACTCCTTTAAAAGGCCCAATCCATTTAATGACTACATGATACACTAGCAATGCTCTGTAGCCCCATAACTAATTGAGTTGATCAAGTGATCTACCTTTCTGATTTGGATACTGTGCCAGCATTATCCCTCACATCGCCATTCACATTTAGTCGAGAGCAAGGATAGAGTATCATTTCTCTTTATTGACTAAATATAATATTTCACAGGAACTAGGAATCTTCTTCTATTGACTCTAAGACAGATCATGATTCTTCATGATCTCTTACTATGCATAGATTCCCGAGTCAACTAGAAGTCATCTCAGCCCTACCGGTCTTTGTGAACGACTAATCCCTTATAGGGGATTGTGAGTCCTTTCAGCATGTCCATCTATACTCATGTATTCGAGTTATACCCAAGAGTACACTGTTCTCCCCATTTTTCAGGCGGATAGAGTTGTACAATCAAAGTATAACTCTAGGACATAGTATTCGAAGACATCCTAAAGTCTAGGACGATGCGCACTACCAAATGTTCAGAGACTTTTCAAATCCAATGATACTCTCTATAATGAATCCTTGTGGAGTCTCTAAGCGGGTCAGTTCAGTGCTATCTGTTCTTCAACAGATCCACCCACGACATCAGCTAAGGCATCAGCATGCCTGCATTCCATGAGGTCCTTACCTTGTATCTTCATACAAGTAGATGACGTCATACTAGTCTTATTGAGATCACCAATACCCTTTCTTGGTGATTCAAGACCAGGAACAGATTTTAGGTAATAGACATTCAGTGTCCTCGAGTCCTCATAATCATGATCACTATCATAGATCCTCGAGTGAACACCTGTTTAATTCCTAGGGTCTTTATCTTTAAACGCATATTTACAATAAAATATTGGCGAGACATAAATATGATAAAGATAAAGTTTGCTCGAATTTATTAATCATGAAATACCAAATAGAAAAAGGTGTTCATCTGATAAAACAGATTGTCTCTAGGACACCTATATACTATCAACACTAACTTTCAATTAGTGACTAAGGTTTTGAGAAGTTTGAATAGGGAATGGCAACCTAAAGTGACGGCCATATGTGGATCAAAAGACTTGAAGACTATCTCTATAGCTACACTATTTGGGAAGCTTCAAGAGCATGAACTAGAATTGGCAAGACTAACCTTGAAGGAGAATGCAAAGAAGAAAAGCAAGGGATTAGCTTTGCAAGCCACAAGCTTAAGCCTTCAAGTAGAAGAAAAGGAAAAGAAGCTCTCCGATGATGAATTGGATAAAGATGAAATGAGTCTCTTTGTAAAGAAATATAGAAAATTCTTCAAAAAGAAGAATTTACAAAGAAGACCTCCATTCCCATCAAGAAGAAAATCCAAAGATGAAGGAACGTCTCAACTCAACATCACGTGCTACGAATGTGGAAAAATCGGTCACTTTAAATCAGATTGTCCAAACCTTCAAAAGAAAGATAAACATGAGAAAAGGCAATCAAAAGAGAAGAAAGGCTTTAAAAAGAAGGCATATACGGCTTGGGATGAAGATTCAAGCTCCTCCGATGATTCAAGTGAGGAAGAGGCTAATGTATGTTTCTTACAAGACTCTAAAGCCTCAAATGAGATAAGCAAAGGAATGCAACATATGTGTTTCATGACAATGGAAAATGGCAATGAGTCAGAATCCGAGGTAAACTCTACTTGCTCTACTATCTCTCCTTCATATGATGAATTGCAAAATTTATTTGATGAATTACATAGTGAATCTTTAGAGCATGTTAAATCTCTTAGAGAATTAAGAAAGACCATTGTCTCTTCAGAAAAACAAATTGCATGCTTAAACAAAGAAGTAAAAGAGTTAAAGGATGAAAATGAAACACTTAAGTTGATTGATGCTAGTACAAATTGCATTAAATGTTTATCATCAAATAATCATGCATCATCATCATCATGTAATTCATGTGAAAAGCTAAAAAGTGAAATTGATGATTTAAACAATATGTTAAGCAAATTTACATGTGGTAGAGATAACTTAAATGTATTGCTTGGAAAACAAAGATGTATGTTTAACAAATCCGGCTTAGGATTCAACACTAATATACAAGAAAAATCCTATAAGGACTTCTTCATATCACCATCTTACATGACTAGAATTCCTTTTATTAAATGCTATCATTGTGGTGGAAAAGGACATAGTGCATCAACATGTAAGATTATAAAGAATGGAATTAAAGGTCAAAAGAAAGTGTGGGTCCCTAAGGGAACTAGACCCATGACTAACACACAAGGACCCAAACAAATTTGGGTACCAAAGATTAAATGTTAAACTTGTTTTGTAGGTGTGCTTGAAGAGTGTCTCATCCAAATGGGTATTGGATAGTGGTTGCTCAAGGCATATGACGGGAGACATTACCAAATTCCTTTCAATTACAAGGAAGGAACATGGACATGTATCTTATGGAGACAATAACAAAGGAAATATCCTTGGCATTGAGAAAGTTGGTAACTCCTCATTAACTTGTATAGAAAATGTTTTACTTGTTGATGGCCTTAGACATAACTTGCTTAGTATTAGTCAATTATGTGACAAAGATTTTAAAGTTGTTTTTTATTCTAAATGTTGCAAAATTGAAAGTTTAAATGATGGACAAGTTAAGTTTAAAGGCTATATAGAGTGGATAATATCTATATGATTTATCTAGATGGTATGCCTTCAAATGACGATAGTTGCTTGGTTAGTAAGAAAAATGATTCATGGTTATGGCATAAAAGAATTGTACACATTGGCATGAGTCACTTAAATAAGTTGATCTCTAAAGATTTAGTAATTGGTCTTCCAAAGCTTAAATTTCAAAATGACAAATTATGTGATGCATGTGTAATGGGAAAAGCAAGTAAAGGCTTCATTCAAATCCAAAGATATTGTTTCAACTACTAGGCCTTTACAACTTTTGCACATGGATATTTTTGGACCAACATAAACTATGAGTTTTGGTGGTAATTACTATGTATTTGTCATTGTTGATGATTTTTCCCGCTTTATATGGACATTATTTGTTGCTCATAAAAGTGAAGCTTTTCAAGCATTTAGAAAATTAGCAAAGTTTATTCAAAATGAAAAATCTTTGAACATTGTTTCTATTAGAAGTGATCATGGGGGAGAATTTGAAAATCAAGATTTTGAAATCTTTTGTGATGAAAATGGAATTCAACACAATTTTTCCACTCCTAGGACTCCACAACAAAATGAAGTTGTAAAAAGGAAAAATCGTGTCTTGCAAGAACTTGCAAGGACAATGATAAATGAAAATAATCTTCCAAAGTATTTTTGGGCAGATGTCGTAAGCACCGCTTGCTATGTTATGAATCGTGCCTTAATTAGGCCAATTTTAAAGAAAACCCCCTTTGAACTTTACAAAGAAAGAAAACCAAACATTTCACATTTTCATATTTTCGGTTGCAAATGTTTTGTTTTGAATAATGGAAAGGATAATCTTGGCAAGTTTGATTCATAATCCGATGAAGGTTTGTGATGATGGTATTGTAGAAAACTTGGGCAGCATGAACTTG